AAAATTGTAAAGAAAACAGCATGTATGATCATATAGTTAAAGCTCTGGTCTAACACTAAAAACATGCATTTTGATTCTTTGTCATAGATAAAACATGTCCTTGAGCAAGTCAGATTCTCAGAGTATTTAGACATAAAATTGCCAGATCCAGAGCCCGTAAAAGTGCTGAGAATCTTTTTATGTGCTTTGGATAATACTTTTAGTCATATCATGCCTTTTTCTTCTTTTATTCCATAGTTTGTCCTTGTTTTCTTTGTTCTTTTCTACTCATATATTGTGAAGGGGCTCCAATCTGAGTGACACTACAGTACAAAAATAAATCATAAGACTACTGTGAAGGTTTATGCAATGTATTCACTTACCTATTCATCCAATTTCCTATATGTGGAAAAAGAAACAGTAGGACAAAAGGCAAAAGCCTCTTAGCTGACAGTGAACATTTATATGTCTAACACATCACTTGGTCAGATTTTAGAAAACAACACGGCAGATTTGCTAGTCAGAAATCAAAATAAATCTTCCAACTGGATCTGCTTATGTTAAGCTGACTACACAGTGGTGGTAAATAGAACTTAGCAAGGAAGGCTTTACATCCATCTCATCTCACCTGCCAGGAAAATGCCTCGTATACCAGGACACTTTGTTGTAGCCACAGGAACACTCAGATGGCAGAAAGAGCTTTGGCTTGTGTCTCTCTCCTTATCCATTTGTGTAGCCTAAGAAACATAAAATCCTAGGAGAAGCTGTCTTGGAAACACGGGAAACAGTTCCAGGCTCTGAACCACTGTTCCAAAGAGATATCTTATCTTATACTAGAAACAGCAATACTATTATCTGACCCATAGGTTAACATTCTAGCTGTTGTGTATCCCAATCTGAGAATTTAACTGTCTCCAGACAACTTACATGCCTACGTTGCTTTTGGTGAATCGCATGCCTGCAGCCAGGTGCCTTTTAAGTTTTGCAAACGTGTGAGCATTGCAATGTCTAAGTATTCTTTTTGGATCTCTGCATTTGTCCTCACTTCTCTTTTTTTTTTTCCTTGTTGGAGAGAAGTAAATATTTTAGCCCATGTTCAGCTCTGAGAGCAAAAGATATCACATGGTTCCATCTTCAAATTTCACTGAAGCTGGGGGAAATGTCCTATGTAGAAATAATCTGCATTTCTAAGGGAAAAAAGATGAGGGTTTTTTACAAGAAAAGAAGGAGTAGAGGAGAAATATATTTCAAGCTTTAAAATTGCCTTATAAATAAGCACAAAAATAATACTCCAGAGAAAAATAATTCACTGTTTTTAACTTTTGCTGTCTTTGTCCATCTTCCCATTGTATTTCAAATGGTAAGTACATTTTCATGAAAGCAAAACCTTTTTTTTTCTATTTAACAGTTCTTAATGATGGTACATCAACTGAAGTAATAACTGGTGCCATGACATCAAAGCCATTTAGTCCTCAGACAGTTGTAATGTTACAAACAGATGATTATGACTAGCTGGGGACATAATAGTGCAAGTGAGAAAGCTCTTTAGAAATGAACCCTATGTTTATTCAAATATCTTTAGTACAAAAAGATGATGATGGAAAGAAATAGTCAAAACTGATTCTGAATATAATTCTTATCAAATTCTTTTGTCAAGCTGTAGCTGGTCTCTAGCAAGATTGTATACCATGCTTTCCGTATAGCCCTCCCTTTGGATCCTTTTTGAACTTACCGTTTGAAAAAAATAAACATGCTGTTTATATTGGCACTCAACAGGAAGATATTGTTTTATTTTCAAGAGGAAAAACAAACAAAAAAATTTCTCCCCTTGAAAAAAAAAGGCCAAGCAACCCCCTTCTAAAAAATATAAAATGAATCTGAACACCAGTAATTCATATATTTCAAAATTACTATATTGTGTCTAAACACATCCCAGTTTCCAGAACCATTTTATGACAATTAGAATAAAATAGTAAGCTTTATTTTTATTCAGAGTAATTTTTGACAGTGTTAGATGCAAACAAATTGCTTATTGGCATGTCTCTGTGTTTGCGGTAGTTTCCTTCATTTCCTTTTCAATCAGTTTATTTTATCTATCATGCCAAGAATTCATAACATTTAAGTGAACATGGTATTTTAGTTCCTTATAGAAATGGTATTCAGATTACAAATGGATGATGGTGATGATGATGGGTGATTTAACTGAATGGTATGCTGGAAATCCTGAATCACAGTGGTATAGAGAGGACTGTGTTATTTATCTGTATTTCCACAATGTATATCTCTGTACACAGAACCATGACAAGGAATGAAAATGGGGATATTGTTCAGGTAGGAAAATCCATCCTAAACTGTTTCCCAGAAAAGTGTGTAGGTCTTTGTGAAAAAACAAACCAAACCAAACCAAACAAAAACAAATAATACCCCCCTCCAAAAAAAACCCCCAAACCCACAACCAACAAAAATCGTTATATAACATTTGTTTCTGTATTTATTTTGAACTATGGAAAAAACTTTCAAATATACACAGAATTGTATTTTCTGTACTTTCTAGTTAGGTATTTGTACGTTTATCCTGCCAGACTGCATATAGACCACTAGCCATGGGCTAAGCAATTGCATTACACATTTAGGTAGCTATATATTCACCAATCCTATATATTGGGGGGAAAAAAACAAAAAAACCCACCCCCACCTCAATTACATGTTCATTAATTTATTTTTTCTACCTACCTTTAAAAATGTACATTTTCAAAAAAACTTTCTAGAGGTATACTATTACATGACAGTAACTATCCAGGCAACAGATAGGACAAATAATTTTTGATTGAGTACTGAATTGCTAAATTTGCAAGCAGTCAAAACCAATTTTTGTTAATTACCTTAATCATACACTTGCCTTCAGTTCTTACTTTCAGTTCTATTTTTATAATAGTGAAAATTCATAGGATTGTTACTTTTTAAATGGGAGCTGTAAGCAACAGGTTTGAGTTTTGATTTTCCTCACTATTGAAACAGATATATGAAAATGACTACTGAAAAGAAATTAATTCAAATTTTTAGTCAGAATAACTGAATTTATCAAGGCTTATACTCAATGTAAAGTTGAAGTAGTTTGGTATAAATCTGCACTTGAAAAACTAGATAATTTTGACAAACTCTAAATATTGGTTTTATAAGATTAAATTCCTCTTAATTCACAATAAAAGAACCCGTACAACTGTCAATTACATTTGTGAAATGTAGAAAAACTAATGGTTTCAAGGACACTTAAACACAAACAGTATTGTTTAAAAAGAACTGCCTCATTGCCCTATCCAAAGAGTAGGGAAAAACAACCCCACCAATTTTAAATTAAGAAGAAAGATTATAAATTTTCCCAATCCAGTTGGAAGTACTGATGTGTGTGAAGATCTTCAGTGATCACAAAGAATTACCTGCCTGACCAGCAAGGTACAGTCTTATCTCAAGACCTAATATTTTGATCTTGGTATAAAGACAGAAATATACTATATAATGTAATGTATAATAAGAAACAAACAAAACTACCTTATGCTAGGTTCAATCTTGTCATCCACAGCTGGAGAGTGACTGGGTATTTTGTGATATTTGGTTCTAAAGAGTAACTGTGCTTGGCAAGTATTTTGAGACACTTCTCATGTATGTTGTTTGGTATCTCTATTTTGGGTCTGAATCTCCTCTGTATCCCCAGTGTCACATCAGCTGTCTCATTTTAAGAAGCAGTGAAAACAAAACTCAGAAAGTAACTGGAATTTGGGTAATGCATCAAGTATTTACTGAACAAGTCTATAATTTATTGTGTTCTAATAAAAAGCATCACTATGACCATTTCATTTTTATCTGCTCTTAACAAGTAATATTCACTCAGACAATATTACAAGCAATGCATAAAGAACATTGCTATTAGCACCTGTACATGCAGTTCCTGGAAGAAACATTCTGATGTTAAGTATAAAGATTCTTGGAAAAAGACACATATAAGTCAACAGGATTTCTATATTTAAAGCAGTGAGTTTGAAAAATAGCACTTTAAAAAAAAAAATTCCTCACTTTTTTCATGGTTTTCATATTTGTTCATGTTTTATTAGATATCTGAAATGAAAATTCAGGTCTACTGTTGAATGAGAATCCAAGTTTTCCAAATTTCAGTGCTCATATAAAGACTCAAAGATACTACTGAATCATTTATTGAGACAGCAGCCAGAAGTAAAACAGCGTCTCTCTGCATTTTCATTTTCCCAAAGTCAGAAGAGAGGAATTTCCTGAAACAGTGTCTGGTTAAAAATAATTCCCTACTCTAATTAATGTGGTCATTGTTGACACTGAGTAGTGAGTTCTTAAACAAAAAAAATAGATCAGCTTCCTTCTGTGCCATTTAAACTTGCCATACACCATAATAAGATAAGAAGGAAGCTTTTTTTCTTTTTCCTTTTTTTTTTTGCTTTCTCTAAACAAACAGTGTTTTCAGGACACTGTTTGTCTTTTAGACTTTGAGAAATACAGTAACAGAGAATCCACAGAGTAACTGAGAGTCTGAAAATTAATAAATGTGCTTTATATAAGGTGAAAATTCCCTAGAAAAAGATTATGTAATATGGCCAAAAAGACAGCGCACTTCTCATGTGGTAAAATCAGAACAAATTAAACAAAAGATGGACTCTCTAATGCTGACACTGAAATTCCAGCCCTACAAATAAAAGATACTGTCCAACACTCTTCCTATTCCCATTTGCCTTAGATCAGGTTCAAATATTAGCCCAAAGAAGTCCAGGTTTTTCTTTGTAATGATTCTGATGGGAAGTCAGCACTTCGAACTGACAATATCTAACACAAGTGTTATGTTTATGTTTTATTTTTATTATTAAACAGAAATGACATCACCAAGAAAAAGATGGTGGTGAATGTGATGAATGGAGTTAAATCCAGTTGGTGGCCGGTCACGAACAGTGTTCCCCAGGGCTCAGTACTGGGGACAGTTCTGTTTAATATTTTTATCGATGTGGACGAGGGGATCGAGTGTATTCTCAGTAAGTTTGCAGATGACACCAGGTTGGGCGGGAGTGTTGATCTGCTCGAGGGTAGGAAGGCTCTGCAGAGGGACCTGGACAGGCTGGATTGATGGGCCGAGGCCAACTGGATGAGGTTCAACAAGGCCAAGTGCCGGGTCCTGCACTTGGGTGACAACAACCCCATGCAATGCTATAGGCTTGGGGAAGGGTGCTGGAAAGTTGCCTGTCGGAAAAGGACCTGGGGGTGTTGGTCGACAGCCGGCTGAACATGAGCCGGCAGTGTGCCCAGGCGGCCAAGAAGGCCAATAGCCTTCTGGCTTGTATCAGAACTAGTGTGGCCAGCAGGAGTACGGAAGTGATTGTCCGCTTGTACTCGGCACTGGTGAGGTCGCACCTCAAATACTGTGTTCAGTTTTGGGCCCCTCACTACAAGAAGGACATTGAGGTGCTGGAGCGTGTCCAGAGAAGGGCAACGAGGCTGGTGAGGGGTCTGGAGAACAAGTCTGATGAGGAGCGGCTGAGGGA